GATTTTTTCCAGTGATAGTGTGAGATAGGAGTAAACACAACATGTGAAGTCTTCAACACACAGTTACGCCAAGAAACTTTATTCTAAGGAAAAAACTAGTTTCGTCGAATCAATAGACCTTCTCAATTCCTTATGTTTACAATTTGTACGTTGGAATTTCTACACCTTTACACCTTTCTTTCTAAATGTGCGACAAAATCTTTCCTGCTCCGCCTTCAAAGGACCTTTGAGTCAAACCGGTTTAAACAAGTTATGCAAGCAAGAATGACTTTCAGAAAACGAAGAACCAATGACGCCTTGCACCAGTGCCTCGTCCTTTCTTACATAGRAGGACAGATCGTTCACGTGTGAGCGCTTGTATTATGGACTGTAACTTCCCKCAAAATACTCAGCTCACCAAGTTTGATGGCCGGTTCGCCATCTCCCTCTCGAGACACTAATGAGTATTGGTCCTATAAARCCAAACAYATTTYACTTATGAAGGCAGAATGRGATTCCTGTGTTACTGCAGGAYGTGGAGAGACTGGGTGCATGTATCTCTCACTCGATTTSCTGTGATATTTGMAAATATCGCGCTTCAAAAAGAGTTACCTTAAAACTTGAGAAGCTACCCACGCTCTCACGAGGGTTTTCGATTATTNGTGAAAAAGTAAGCCATAAAGAGGGTTTCGTGGTTGATATAGAATACACCAAATAGCCACGTTAAGCCAAGAATACATGTAAGTAATGTACATGCCTTAGCCCAATATCTACAAAAACATCGATGATAAATAAGTAATTGTTTGTTTAATTTGCAAAGTCTTTTCTGGAAATTTTATCTCCAGTCACATTTTGTAATAATCAGCTCGATTTTGCCTAACAGGGAATACACTCTACTTATCACCTTATTCGGCGAATTTTACTCGGTTTTCTGCGGTGGCCACCTCTCCTYGACATCACACTAAACGTCACTCCCATAATTAAGAAATTGAACTACAACGAATAAACAGTATATAAATAATATATAAATAATTATAAATAGTAAACAGAGTTTTATTTATTTACGACGACCAAGACTGCTTTTCGATCTTGGAATACACTGGATTAATCTCCGTATTGAGAAGTCAACGGTTTTGAAAGTGCTGTATTAGTCCTCTGTTTGCGAAAACGGAACAAAACTTACACCAATAACAAGGAGAGCAGGTCCAACGAACGTCCATATAAAGCCATTATCGATAGACAACCAGCAACTACAARAAAATAATCATATAGTCATAAATGAAAAAAAAAGAACAAAAACGGGAAGAGGGGGAAGGAAATGAGAAAAAAGGCAGGTGAAAAAGAAGGTATGACACAAATACATTGATACTCACTAGAATTCTGTTCCATATCCTTGCGGATGAACACCAGCGGAAGTAGCAACAACAATCAACGGTAAACCTTAAAATATTTTTAAGTTAGGTAAACCAACATGGCCGCCGTGGCGTCAACTAAAACCTTGGGGTATATTTGTATATAGGGTGTATAGCGCCATCCAACACAAGAATCCTTATCCAACGGATAAAAATAAAACAAAATATATGGGTTGGATAACTTTATCCCATTCGATCTGTAACAAAGGGTGAATAGCGATATCCACAACTGCCCTTGTATTATTCAGAGGCTTAAAATCTATATATACATCAGTACTTTCTGAGAACAATGCGTCGGTCATCTTGAAAAGTGAGACCGGAATCACTATGTTGTGCCTTAGAACACATTTCGTAGTTGCTAAGTCAACTAATCTATCATTATATCGTACAATAATAACTTAACATTAGCTGAGAAGTTTTTAAATCCTTTAGGAGTTATAATTTAGTTATAGGAGTCCCACTTTTCAAGATGGCGGACGCATTGATCTCCGAAAGTACTGATGCATGTATGGAGTAGATAATTTATCGGGCGTATCTTAAAGCTAGATTACTCCTCTTACAACCGGTTTCAGGAGTATCTTTTCAAGATACTTACACCATCCGACAGTTAAAAAGATRATTCTTTTCTTCTTGGTCAGGGTTTTCGTACCGAAAACCTTTACCAACATTAGGTATAACATGACGCCTTCAAGGGCCATCCAGACAAACGATGCCAGCCATAAATAGTGTAGAAAACCAGCGATGATTTGGCACACCAACTGTAGATTAAGTAAAATATCWGTTACGACTGCCCAGGCTTAAAATACGKCRTTACGCTTTATTTTTTGAYAMGCTCGAAGGGGTTGATGKGAAGRAKACAAAAARGTAAYTWCGCGCCTTTYMTTTGCCCTTCCCTTTATRCATTGCGCGCCGCTGGAGRGAAGCRACTGGRTACGAGTCTGGKTYTTAGYACCTCAGCGTKCAGGSCRACTTAGAGCGTTACCTTTATCCTTGTCTTGTTGATCCCRAACAAGAACAGAATCTGAGCGAGGATCAAGACGAACGCTAAGTTTGTATGKATAAATGTCCGYGATGATTTCAAGAACCTAACAAATGAAGATACAAAACAAGTGTAAAAGTTTAAACATTGCTCTTTCGAATACTCCATTTCGAATTTTCATTGGAAGGTAACCGAGCCTATGTATCAAAACGAGACACTTGTTGAGCCCGCAATGATAGATACATTTTGTTCACACCTAAGACAATTATTCGCCATTGCAAGCTTAACTGCTGTCTTGCGTTGATACAAAGCCTCAGGTATGATCTTTTTAGATGGAGTGGGAACTGGAAAATAGAGTATTCTTGCGTTTGATAGGGTATTTTTTGGCGTGCTTTTCTTGTTTAATGTTTCGTCAAAAAATTAATGGGAAGGATTGGGGGAAAATTGGAATACTCGCCCGTCCAAGGAATGTTGGATGCCATTCGGTGATGAAGCATTTCTCTCTACCCCGGATCTAAAGTCAGTAAAACTAAAAATGACAAGACACTCACCTGAACGTCAAAAAAGTCAAAAACGTCAAGCAGAGAGCACCAATCGATAGCACACAACCAATGTATGTGATCAACTCGAGTGCGATTTTATGTCGGCCCTGAATCGAAACAGACGAGTTNCATCCACAGCGACTATCCCCTTGCCCCAGAAAAACTGAAAGTCCCCGAAGACTGGCTCTCCCCCTATTGTCAAGACGTTCTGAATGAATTGCAGATGAATTACCACCCAACAGAAAAACTTGTCCCAAACCTGCATGAAAAAAATCACTATATTCTGCACTACCGAAATCTTCAACTGTACCTCTCCTTGGGTCTCGAACTGACCAACATCCACCGCGTCTTGACCTTTGATCAATCACCTTGGCTGAAATCGTATATCAACTTCAATACCGAAAAAAGAAAAAATGCCCGAAACAACTTTGAGAAGGATTTCTTTAAGCTTATGAACAATTCTGTGTTTGGTAAAACAATGGAAAATTTGCGCAAGCGAGTGAATGTCAAACTCGTAAACAATTCAACCCAACTTAAAAAATGGTCTGCTTCACCACTGTTTGAATCGTTCAGAATTTTTGATGAAAATCTGGTGGCCGTCAATATGCGAAAACCGTCTCTCTACCTAAACCGTCCTCTGTACGTGGGGTTTTGTATTCTTGATCTTTCAAAAGTTCTGATGTACGATTTCCATTACAATTATATGAAGTCAAAGTATGGTAGCAACTGTAAGCTGCTTTTCACAGACACCGACAGCCTTTGTTACAGTGTTGAGACAGAGGATATCTACCGTGATTTCTTTCAAGACCTCGACTTATTTGACACCTCAGAATATCCAACAAGCCATCCCCTCTACAGTAGCAGAAATAAGAAAGCACTAGGAAAAATGAAAGACGAGACCCATGGTATCGCCATTGAAGAGTTCATCGGACTGCGTCCAAAAATGTATTCTCTTAAGTATTTAGAAAATGGTAAAAACATTGAAAAGAAAACAGCAAAAGGAATCTCGAAAATTGTAACAAAAAGAGACATTCGCCATGCACACTATAAACGTTGTCTGTTTGAGAAAAAAAGAACTGTAAATAACATGAAACAGATCAGAAGTAATAAACATCAAATATATACCCTAAATCTGAATAAAATAGGTTTAAGTCCCTATGACGATAAACGCTTTATCTTGGACGATGGAATCACGACCAAAGCCTACGGACACTGTGTGATCAGTCACATGTAATTTGTATATATAGTCTAACAGATATGTAAATATAGTATAATAGAATCTTTTTTATGTAAATAAAGAAATTATACATCTCAAAAATGTGTCCCTTGTGTCCCTTCTGTCCCTTTTGTCCCTTCTGTCCCTTATTTAAGTGGGCCTTTCTGTCAAAAGAACATTAATCTCTTGTGAAACGTAAAGGGATAACATGAGTGGGCGGGTGTGCAAAGATTGTCCATTTCCGAACTGTGGCACGAAATGTCTTGTGAAACTTTCTAATCATCTCGCGCAAGTGCATGAATTAACTCCAGAACAACGAAAGTCCTATTTGCAGCAAGCTCGCATCCAAAAGTTGGGAACCCAAGTGAAACACTACATAAGCCATGGAACTTTTTAAAACGCCCCATTTCATGCGATGGACGTGAGACTGAGACATCCTTTTGGAGCCATGGTGGCGGGCCCTACCTGCTGCGGTAAAACTCAATTTGTGAAACGGTTACTCGAAGGTGGKGAAGAAGTGATTGATGGAGCGCCTGAAAACATTGTTTGGTGTTACGGCATGCATCAGCCAGCTTACGATGCTATGTCAGAGTCTCTTCCACAAATTCACTTTGAAGAAGGACTTCCCATGGACTTGGAATCTCGAATCGATCCCTCGATTCGCAATCTCATTGTCATWGATGACCTAATGAATGAAGTGGGCAGCGATAAGCGATTGACCAACATATTTACCAAGGGATGCCACCACAAGAATCTTTCATGCATTTTCATTCTTCAGAATATTTTCCATCAAGGAAAAGAATTGAGAAACATCAGTCTCAATTGCCACTACATGGTGCTTTTCAAGTCTCCACGAGATAGCAGTCAAATCACAAACCTGGCCAAGCAAATCTATCCTGGCAACGTCAGATTTATGCAAGAGGCATTTCGCGATGCGACGTCAAAGCCCTACGGTTATTTGCTTTGCGACCTCAAACCAGATACCTTGGACGAGTATCGCCTGCGCTCCAACATTTTTCCCTCGGAAACCCAGTTTGCCTATGTTCCAAAGGTATAAAACCATGTAACCACCACAAGGAGATCATTTGATCATGAGTCGCCGTGCGAAAAAGAACTACCACCACCTGAAGGTCTTGTCTACTAGTAAGCCACACCAAGCCAAGGCTCTTCTCAAGGTAGCTGACGACGATCTCATCCAAAGCGTGTGTGAGTGTATCTTCAACGTTCTGAAATCCACTGTTCCTGTTACCCCTCGACAAAAGCAAGAACTTGCTAAACACAAATCTCCGCTATTGACTTTGGTGAACAAGGAAGTCCCCCTTTCCAAGAAGAGAAAGATTCTACAGCAGAAAGGAGGGAATTTTCTTTCCTTGCTCCTTCCACCTGTGCTGAGCGCTCTCGAGCATTTTCTTAAAAAATGAACTATGCCAAAAAGATGGTCTTGGTTCCGGAGCAGACCTTAGAGAGACTGCAACAGCGCGAAAAAATCAAAACGGCACCGCTGACGTCCAGATTGAATCAACTTGATCATGAAATGGAGGATGTTTTGAAAAACAAAGAATTGTCCAGCGAAGAAAAAGCCAGACTTTACAGTCAGACGTTGCAAACTTACCTTACGTATTACAATCAACGAAAGGGAGATCCCTTGAAGATCAAGTTTGAACCTGCTGAGGCTGACCTCCCCAAGGAACCAGAGGAAGAAAGTGTACAACCAGAACCAGTGCGCCCAGAAGGGCAGGATAGAGTGGAGCGCGACATTATCAATGCCCTGCCTAAAGCGCTCAGGCCTCGAGGGGAAAGGTTGATCGAGAAGATACGAGAACACCCCGACATTATGAAGTGGGACCACCGCGGTCAGCTGGTGTTTGAAGATCAACCTCTGCGAGGTTCTCATATTGTCGATCTCATAGGGGATTTTATGAGAGAAAGAAAGGGCGTGGACCCGATTGGATGGGAAATGTTTGCCAGGGGTCTTGCAAAAATGAACGCCCCCGAAGACCTGGTGAGAAACGAGCGTAGAAGGGGAGCCTTGAGGGACTTCAAATCACGCATTGGAGATCAAGACGATCCCAGCGTATGGCTTCCCAGCCCTCCTCNAAAATTAAGTCTATGGACAAGTACCTGTATGAGATATGATGTTTCTCCTTTAACGTTCATCAAGACAGCAAAACTAGTGAGATGATAGCAGTGGCATACTGTATGTGAGCTGTTAGTGGAGTTGGCATAGCAACCTTCACTTGACCAATGACCAGGCTCGCTTAGAGATGAAGGTAGAGTACATTGGATTATACGAAAAGTCTCGTTTGGAAGTAGAATTGGTGAATAAATGAGATAAATGGATGACAAAAATATCTGAATGGCTGAATGATAAAGATCAAAAACAGGATAGGGCCCAGAATAGTTCCTTTTGGAACCCCACAGGAGAGAGGTTCGCTTTTAGACAGTCAGCCGGGTGGAGGGATGGATGGATTATTGAATGAATAAAAATGGATGTCTGAATGGATGAATGGGACAAGGAAAAAATGGAAGGATGAACAACAAAAAGGTTGATTTATTGAAGGAATAGAATGGATGAATGAAAACAYACCTCGTCATATCCCAGAATACACACGAAAAATTCGAATTTTGGASATCTTTCTRCAATAGGATCAAAACAAAGTCAGTAATGTGATGCAATTAATAATCATCCTTCAAGGATGTACGTATCGGACAAAACAATGCTTTTACCTGATTTTTCGCAAAAACAATAGTAACTGGCTGCTTAAAGTTTCTACGTTTGAGCCCAGACACACTCAAGGACACCACTGAACTRTCGACACTTGTATTGCTGAAAAGGAATACATCAAAATAATAAATAGGAGGAGTCAGCATACCGCTGACTAACAGGCGAAGAGTCTATGGGCTCGAGAATGAGAATGCAAGGCATTTGATGAAGAAATGTCCTTTAAAGTTGCCCGCGCCACTATAAAAGGTATCTTTTTTTCTTATTTCTCTATTTTTGTTATTTCTTCGATAAAGCAACGCCATCTTGAATTTGCCGCCAATGTATGGCATGACAAAGTTAAGTTTAAAAGCGAGAGTACTTCCTATGACGTCATGAGATTTTGGTGATTGCGATTGGTTTTTGAGTTCATTCTAGTATGTTGCCATCTTTTGAGGTTCTTCTTAATTATCCTCGACAACAGAAACTCAGCTCTTCGTGGTTTTTACAAAACATCCGCCATTTTGATACTTATAACAATACCATGATGCACTTCGGCAAAAGAACATGACGTCATTACCGGAAATGACCACTGACCACATATATTACCCTTTAGATTTTGGTTCCAGCAGACGTCCCATAGTATTGTAAGATATGTAAGTAAATTGYTGAGAACCTAAAATAATCAAATGGATGACAAATCTTAACATTTGAATTGAAGAAGGAAAGAATAGTAAAAAATGATTGAGGCCAAGGAAAGTGAGAAATGAAAAAAACGAATAAAGAAAAGAGTAAACTGACTACTGATTGAAAGACGAGGAACTGATGCAGAAATGGAAACAGAATAAAGGAGAAAAAAGGGAGTAAGGAAAGAATGATAGCTRGRGAAATGAAAAATCGTGACAGGAAAGTAAACGAAACGAAAGATATTRAAACAAACTAACWCAAATATAGTTAATACATTTGATTTATGCAATCTTTTTACCTTGGTTGAGTTCTGAAGATGGGAACACAGCGTATGGATACCCACCAATCTCCTTACTTCCCTTGTGTCCAATAAAAACACTTTTCGACAACGATTCGTTGGATGTAGAAAAAACGTCAAGCACTGAAAAGCGAAATCTCTGAATCAGTTTAAAACAATAGCACGTTGTTTTAATAGCTTGCTTCACGGTTCCATGCGTCATCTTGAAGGTATCTGTACCTTTGCATCGAAGCGACACAACTGGCGAGTGTTCTCGATAGATACCTGTGAATAATACTCGATTCGAGATCTTATTTATTTATTATTTGTGCACCCTTAACCTCGAAAGCATGTAATATATTCTTTCATTCAGCAGTGATCCTATTGTTACGCAAACACTCTGTCTACAAAGACAATAAAAAATTATGCTTGATTGAAGAGATTTCGAAACTGGAGTATTGTCTTTAGGTCGTGTGAAAGGTTTCTATTCACGACTTTCCATATGCAGGTTTAGTGACCACGCCACAAAGATTTGAACCGAGGCGCCAAGGAACACTGATCACAGATCTTTTCTTTTATGCTAACTGTACCTTGACGCCTCGGTTTTATGCCTTTTTCATGATCACTGAACTTGAGTGTGGAATATCGTGAATTTGCTCACTAAATGGTTGTCTCGCTTCGATGTGAAGGCTTGGCTAACACTGAAGGAGACTTTTGTCAATCTTTATATCACAATGGAAATTTTGTGAATAAGTCAACGCGCTAGTACACCAGTCCTTACCTACATTAGGCATTGTAGTACGGCTACGATTCCCTGTACGAGCAACCTTTAACGCAACGCTTTCCATCGTTTTTAACAACGAACCTGCGTTGCGTTTACGTTCGGTCTGTTGAGTTAAACGTAGCTCTTGAGTTAATGAATACGCAAGGGACAAAATATATATAAGAATAAAATAAWCTTTTTTTCAAAACTTTTGTCGGAATATACCTCAGGGACAAAATTCCATTTCTCGATTGTMACGGAATCAAGTATGTTACTTGCAGTGTTTACTAAGGCCTAAAATGAAAAAATAACAAAAATTGTTATTAATGTCATGAATAGTCTCCTTCATGGTTTCCTGCGCCATCTTGAAAGGTAGCCGTGCCTTTACATCGAAGCGAGACGACCGTTGAGCGTGCAATGATAGATAACTGTAATTAATTGTCTGTAGTCGTGAAGGTTACTATCATTGCACGCTCAACAGTCGTCTTGCTTCGATGCAAAGGCAAGGCTACCTTTCAAGATGGCGCCAGGAATCGTGAAGGAGACTATTCGCCTTCCAAATTGAAAAGACGACTGGAAACGATTATGAAAAATAGTAAGTTGCTTAGCATACCTTAGTGAATTGTTTTGTTTGTTCGTTATTTCCAGTTCCTGTTTTATTCACTTCTCGATCCGTGAGAACTCCTAAAACATTCACTACAATCTTCAGATCTCCAGGGTAGATCTTTTTGATATTTTGTTTATCTGTTAGTTCAACTGTTTGATCAGCTACAGACAATGCGCTAACAGATGGGTCATTTGCCTGGTAATGAAACAATAGTCAAAATATAAGTGATGGTGATTAGGGCACTTTCAGGAGGGTATATACTACTTGTTGATATTTCGTTTATCTGTATCTGTTCGTTCAACTGTTGGATCAGTTACAGTGAATATAAGTGATAGCGATTACTGACAGTGATTAGTGATATGATAGTGATTAGGGCACTTTCAGGAGGGTATATACTACTTGTTGATATTTCGTTTATCTGTATCTGTTCGTTCAACTGTTTGATCAGTTACAGTGAATATAAGTGATAGCGATTAGTGATAGTGATTACTGATAATGATAGTGATTAGGGCACTTTCAGGAGGGTATATACTACTACTTAAAATTAACAAAAGTACAACGGAATTGCGTCCCTCTGTCCTCTGATTTAAAAACGCACTGGGTGGATTCAGAGGTTAGGGTACCGCCTTCCCTGGCAGACAAAGTCTTTGAAATGTCCATGCAGCTTCATCTGGAGGGCAAAAAAAACAACAACAGATTTTGCTCTATTTAGAACTAGAATCCATTTTGACCTCCAGTTGGAGTTGCATCCCATGAACTGCAAGRGGTTTATAGGGTTACACATTTCCGCATAGTCCAAACGTTTGTTCAGCGTGAATCCAACAAAAACACTAGTTCAATTCAGCAGTCAATCGCCTTCTTCTTAGTCTTGAGACCTCAAAACAAAGCTGTAACCCCCCTCATGAAACTGTGTACACTCAAGCGTAGGAACACGAGTGCTTCTAGAGTGCTCTTCAAACCAAACAAGCAATGAGTCATTTATTATTGGGTGTGCATACCAAGTCCTTCATGTCCATCGCCCACTTAGATACGCAATTACTCATGTCTGGGTCAGCCCACTTGGCGGGCTGGTCTGAAAGACCAATACACTGTCGTCTGGCAATCCCTACACAAAAACCAAGTCAACTGCTTAGATATTTTATTCGTTCGATATACTGAAATTACATAGGCATCTTCATGGGGGAATGGAAGATATAAGCTATGCTAAATTTAGAGAGGTTGATTTCAAGGCTTAAAAGGTCGACTTATACAGTCGTCATAATACATACGGTCGTCATAATGTGATGGAAATGTATGAAATCTAGACTTTGGATTCGCTATCTAAATTCGTATTTAAGCAGTATCCGAAAATTTTGTGAAAAAGCAGAAGTCCAAAATATAGAATAAGTTGATGTGTTGATTTTTCACCTGTCACTCCTTCAGGGCACGGCGATGTCTCGTTTTGTCCTCGTAATGTCCGTCTCCATGGTATTTCTTGAAACGTTTCCTCCCTGCAAAAGTCTTTCTCTGAGGTACCTCTGGGGATTTCTAAGAAAATTGAGCAAGTTGTCATTTAGTTAATTTTCAATATAACAACAAGTGAATAGACAATGTGCGCGAGGCCACTTTGTACAGCAAAGCATGATGGTAGTTTTTATATAGCCCCCTAACTTTTTATCAGCCTTTAGAAAATCTCCCTGAAAGCCGTTTTTATACTTTACGGTACAACCACTTCTATTTTTTTGCAAAGAAATAACAATGTTTTTGCTAGGACTACAACTCCCATCATATTTTGTTGCACAAAATAGGAGTATAGAATGGTGTCTCAGAAATCGCGAGGCTCGCCAAAAATTTCTCTGTGTCATTTTTACCTTTACATTTCCATCCATCGCCGATRAAGCCATGATTACATATACAGAAAAAGGACCCTTTAGTATTGATACATTGTCCATTAACGGCGCATTGTATCATGGGAATAACATTGAGATAGCATTGACTTTCATCTGAAAGAAAACGTCATCAAATGTTCTGTAATTAGCATTAGAACTCGGATCCAACTCGGCTACAATGGCTAACGCATTTGCCAGAGGTCTTGGAATAAGCCAAATAAAGAAAATACTTACCAAATTTGACAGAAACCTTGGAGTTGTCACAATTACTCTTCAAACCTCGACACTCGTTAGCATCTGAAAAAAAGCAAAAATGGTTCACAGTTTTCTTTACCTTTTCTTACCGCTCGCCATCTTGAATTTTCCGCCATTTTATCTTTTAACGTGATTGTCCACGGGGTGACCTACGTAGCACGCAGTTGATGTAATGTATTCATAAAATGTATTGTATTCCATTGTTTCTCGTTCTATTGTATTATGTGTTTTGTTTTGTATTATATCTTTATGAATATATTACATCAACTGAGTGCTACGTAGATTCTCCCGATTGTCCACTGACCGGAACATGAAAGAACCTTGACTAGTTTACAAAGTTTGGAAATAATATGCAAATATACTGTAAATTTAATTTACACAAGAAGTCTATGCTAACTCTGAATTCTCGTTGGAAAATGTTAAGAAAGTGTCCTTTATAAATTAATTTTAAAATATATTTACAATTTTTCATCGAGCATATATTGTAAAGACAATTTAAAATTTACAAACTTTGTGAAAGGACTCAGATATTTTTTTTTCTTATACGAGGTTAAAAAGATTTTACTCTCAAAGCTACAAACCTGATGTCCAGAACACTACGTTGTGGTCCATCAAAGGTCCAAATCCTTTAGAATTTCCTTGTTGGATGTTGACTCTATACCGAGTTATCTGCTTCAGCCCAGCAATGGTTGCTGTAGTTTTATTAGTCACAAATGCCACACTTTTATGTGACGACGTGATGACCACACGGTATTTATCAACGATTTCACTAATCACGTGGCTGTCACGACCTTGCCACGTGATCACAGCAGAATTCCAGTTAGCTGATTGGATGGTTATGTTTTGAACAGTAGCTGAGTGCGTAATAAGAGAGTTAGAGAATACAGTCAAACCTCAATGAAACGGTCACTCCAGGGMAAGCACCTTTTGACAGGGGCTGACCGTTATGAAGAGGTCCATTCTACAGCAAATTTGTACCAAAAGCCGACCGGTTAATGGAGGGAGCCTTTAAGATTTCGTTGGTTGGTATATTTCATATAATAAGCGTTTCTTCAACCAATAATGTGGCTTTCGTTTGCTTACTACAGTTTTGGGCGGGCRCTATTACCTTTATAAGAGCGTAATTGAAAAAAATAATTGATAAAATTCCGCAAAGTTCTACTTAACACTCGTTCAACCCCCTCTCCTTCCCCARGAGAGTGTTATTGGCACCAAAAGAACATTCAGAAAGTATGTGTGATCTTCAAAACACAACTTTGAGCGATGAGGGATAGGGGTAAGTAAGCAAAAGGCCTATSAGAAAATGATCTACCTTTGACACGTGTCTGTGGCATCACAATAACATTACATTCCTGTGGGAAGGGCAAGTCTTTAATACTAACGAACGTGTAGCTCGTCGAACGTCCTCTGTAGATTTCCTGGATTTCGCTGATGTTGTTTTTCTTCCATTGCATAAAGACCTTGTACCAGAAACGCTTCCTGGAGTCCATGGGGCTTGTCCAACTAAGCTGGAGTGTTCTGAGGTTGACTGGGTTAGCGTTAATGGACGGAACTGTGTTAGAGTCTACAAGTTTAATAGAAGCGAATCATTATTATACCGAGAGAGACCGGAGAGGAGGTGGAGACCCGGGGTAAGAAAAAAACAATTCCTGCGTCCGTTTTATTGCTTTAAGGAGGGTTCCCTTGTGTCAACATACCATCTTCACCAGTTACAAGTATACTAGAACCGAATCATTATTACACCGAGAGAGGGGAGAACCGGAGAGGAGGTGGAGAACCCGGGGTAAGAAAAAACAATTCCTGCGTCCGTTTTTCTGTTTTAAGGAGAGTTCCTTTGTGYTAACATACCATCTTCATCTGTTACAGCATTCAATTCAGATGGTTTACTTGGTGGTAATGGCAGTCCAACAGACACCACGTAGATTTTGTAAGTTGTGTTTCTTGAAAGACCAGATATCAAGAATTCATTATTAGGTGGTAAACCAACTTGAAGTTTGGTAAATTCGCTATTAGAACCGTCTTCTTTGTAAAGTACCTAAAATGCAATTAACAGCTCGTTTAGAAATGTTGACGGGAATAACGGTGATTGTGTTAAGGTTAAAATTAAACACAGCACAACACCAAAAACACAAACACAAGACAGTACAGCTCAACACGACACAACAAAAACAAACCACTGACAGAACAAACAGCACAACACATTACAGCGCAACGCAATTAACGCAAAGCACAACAATGAGTCCTAGATACGCTAAACACCGTTACCCAGTATCCTTTGACCAAATCATTCTGAGCTGGCGGCTTCCATGACATAAGTATTGCACGTGAAGATGTTGCCTCAACCGTCAGGTTCAKCGGGCTACCTAGCACTGCAACTGAAGCATGCRACASATATTGTATGAGTATACAAATATTACAGCGCTCTTTTMGATTGACAGAGCAGGATTGTAACCGCACGCGACTATCCCTACGTTGCCCCATAAGGACATCTGCGGTAGACCATAGGGGACATACTAAAAGTTTTAGTAGCTCTTTTTAACTCGGTCCGTAGTGCTCGTGGTCCTGAAGTACCGAGTACCTTTAGTACTTGGGTGTCCGCAATTCCGAGAAAATTTCAGTGGATTTGTCCGTGGTATTCAGATGTGCACATTTATATAATTGACTACCCAAAAGACCGGAGTGCCCTTATTACCTTCAGTACATGAGTGCCTGTAGTACTTTTAAACGTTTTCGTTTAAGTATTCGTAACATCGGGGTATCTAMAGACCGGTGTTGCAGGTAAGTCAAGAACTATCTGTACACACCTTTTCTTTTCTTGGAAGATGAGTTGCATCGAATTTTTTTACTACTTTGTCCGTTCCCGCCGTGGATCTTATTTTGAACTTGAATTTCAACCGTAGAAGATGAAGCTGTATCGATAACAAACTTATTTAGTTTGCAATATGGTTAGTCGAAATCAATCAATCAATTAATCAATCAATCGATCGATTCCTTAATCACTACATCAATCCATCGATCACTCATTCACTTACTCAATCAATCGATCAATTAATCATTAAATACATGAATCAATCAATCGTCAGTTGATCAATCAATTAATCAATCAATCGATCGATTCCTTAATCACTACATCAATCCATCGATCACTCATTCACTTACTCAATCAATCGATCAATTAATCATTAAATACATGAATCAATCAATCGTCAGTTGATCAATCAATTAATCAATCAATTGCTACCTCAATGTTGGTATCTTTTTTTAAGGCGAAAGTTAATCAATGAATAAACTTCATCAACCCATTCATCACTCGTTCACTCACTCACTCAATCAATACATCAATCAACCAATCGTCATTTGATCAATCAATCAAGTCAGCCAGTCAGCCGTGTTTTAGTCAAACATGGCTCAGTTTGTACTTTCGTCATCCCATAAAGCATATCGCCCACGTCACTAGGGGAAAAGGACCATAATAGTTATAGAGTCTTACTCAGTCTTGTTATATTAAATGAGTCKCTTGATCTTTGAGCTGTAAGCTTGACCCAGGGCCTTAACTTAGTATATCTGTACCAGACGTTAAAGCCCGTGAGGGTATCGTAGTCTGGTAACGAGTGTTTCCATTTTATGGAAATCCAACTTGGTCCAGACAAACAACGACKTGATAAAACAGGAGGACCTGGAATATGTGTATTAAATATATAATAATGTATTAGCCWGGGTTTGATGTCTGAGATATATGTGACTTAGACCGGGTGTACGTCGAGTTAACGTCGAGTAACTGTCCTGAAAAACAGTGAATTATATTGAATCTAATTTACACTGTATAAGACTATAAGACTAGTGCTTTTTCATACTTTTAGTGTTTGCACTCTAGTTTAATCGAGTGCGTAACTCGAAGCGAGTAACTCAATGCAAGGCAATAAAATAGCAAACGAAAGAACGAGTAGAGATTACGATGCATAATTTGTCCTACGAGTTACCCCTACACTTTACTATTAAATGATTGAACGTACCAACTTTCTTTGAACATATAAGTCCTTTATCAACTTGACGTAACTCCTTATACCACACRGCAACGTCATCATATGATATGTTAAACGCAGCCTTGCCACGCCCTGGGGCTTTAACTAAGTATAAATGACCCCCAGTGGCACCATTACTCGTGCTCAAACGAGCCTGATGTACAGTGTTCATTCTCTCGCAGTTTTTATAAATGACAAGACCTGTGGAATTCGACCACGAGAAACCAATCTGCGTCCAAGTGTTGTATTCAACGTTTGTATAACCAGTCCAAATCCTCTCTCCGTTATTGATCCGAAACCTTACTCTTTGTTCGCGMCCCTTGATAGGCATTGAGTGAATTGCGAATCCCGGGCTTCCTGTTTTAGATGTCGACGTTCCTATTAAAAATTGCGTCCTACTTGCGACCCTTCGGCTATATTTAACCCAAAGRGACAATGTCAGGTAGGTGCTACATTTTCTTGGGTCCAGAAGGCACGTTCCTTCGAAATCGCCCAACTTAAGGCGCGAATGAAAAATAAATAAATATCCMGGCCCAGGTCCCTTGAAGTGAAGGCTTTTATCCCGGCCATCTCTWACGCCACTTTTGTTGCTAATGACGTCGCGTAGACCAGTTGTGGTATCTAGAGGCCAGTAGTGAACGGCACTGTCGTAAGGCCGTGAGTAGTCTAGAAAAATTATACGTTGTTTAATAAAATTATTGAGACATAACGCGTGCTCTTATTGGCTGACGCCCTCGCTTACGACAGGAAACAGAATAGTTTGCTGCTCGTGCGCTCGATAAAGGACGAATAATTTATTAAAAGAAATTTAGAATGGCCGTTTGTGTCTCTGTTCTCTGATATAAACACGGCGGGAGATGCAAAGCAAAATAGAGGCAAGAGAAACAATCACTTAGCTTGTGTTCTTAGGTACTTGCTTCTTTTGTACGCCACCGCGTGTTCGCAAACACACGCATCCGTTTTATACTTCTCAATTGAAGTACATGTTTAAAAGTAAATTCCAAGGAAGGGATACATCACTTCATTCGTATATAATATACTCTTTTRTGAGGACTTTGAGTGTTTCATTGGGTTTTCCAACACTTGGTAACATAAAGAAAAAAACTAAAGGAACCGATGAAGTAAGGTTGAAGGGTCTAGCATTGGAAGGGAAATATACATTTTTGAAATTGCTTCCATGATTTATGAGGAATGGATGGYAAAATGAGGTTTTCTTTCATTTTTCAAAACCCTTTTACAGCTTTGAGTTGTCGTTGTTTTATACTCATTAAATATTGATGTTTAAGATTAGAAAATGAAGAATTTGCACAACAGRAGCTTTGCGTGTAAAAAATACAGACAAAATACTTSGCGACTATAAYTYTCGTTGTRCGTTATTGCTCAAATCGCGTTTTGTTTTGAATCAGAGTCTTTGTGGGCTAGTTATCTTTAAATGTTTTTTAAACAAACCGGCCTGTCTACTTCCATTTCTCCACAATATCCTGACAGCCTCCAAACAAGGTAGGGTTTTACGACAATTAATAATGGAATCAGTAATGGTTATTTTGCAAAACTCACTATAAAATCACTAACCAATAAGCGTCCAAAACATTAAAAGAGCCTAACTATTATAGAATGTTCCGTTGATTTTTAAGCGCCCGCTGACAACAGTAGCTGTTTATCCGACAATGACACAATGACATAAGTAGAGAAACACGTAACAWGATCAAAGGAGCACGGAAAAATGTTTTTTTTTTTCCCTCTATTTTCTTTGTGTGTTTCCTMAATATACGCCCACCATCTTGAATTTTCCGCCATTTTGTTTTCTTTGCTGGCCTCTTTGTGTAATGTTTCGAAAAAAAAAACGTGGAAAATGTAAACTGAAAGATTAACTATTTCGCCTGCTCTCTTGTTGTCATAAGAAGGTTGAGGGAGTGTACTTTACTCCACATTATTCAAAGTCGTGTAGCCTTTTTTTTAACAAATTGGTATTCAAAAGCTAGATTCAAGCATAGTCCATATTATTGTTAAAKTTCTCGTTTGCTTGAGGCAGCATTTTACTTTTACTCTCACCGTTTTACTTTAATAAACACTATTCTTAGGTTGCAACAACTTGTTTAAAAACCCCTTTAGAAAAAGACTTTAAAAAGAAAGCAATCGCCGCCATGTTGGACGAATGAACAAGATAAACTAATGAGGAATTTATACTTTGTTATCTTGTTTTTTTTCTTTGTAAATAGTTATTGTTGATAGTATAGTTTCTAGTTTATTAATACGTAGTTTTTCAATCATATAATGTAATGTAGATAGCAGTTACACAACGAAAGCCACGTAAGTTATAGTGTTTTTTTCCTGAATTATTATTATTATTATTATTATCGTTGTTGTTATTATTAAAATGGCGAATGGAATATGCCAGACTTTGAGAAACCTTTATGATTGCTTGGTAAACAGCAATGATAAAAGGTATTAAAGAGATTAAGGACAAAGGACAAGCATCCGAAAAGTAAGTAAGTTTTCTTTCCTTTTGCAGTCTTTAATTTAACATTTTGTATACTATCACGACCGACGACTCACAATATTCCATACTCTGGTTCAGTGACCAACGAACAACGCATGGAACCGAGAAAAGATCTGTGCTTAGTGTTCTTTGATGCCTCGGTCCAATGTTTTGTTCGTTGTCTCTGAAACTAGGTATGGAAAGTCGTGAATGCAAAACTGATTTTGGGGCAATTTTGACAATTATATTGACACTAATTCTTAAAGAATCACAACCAACCACCGCACCTTGCGAACCGAAGCGCCATTTTAGGTGAACAAGAAAATGGTGGATTCGTAGGATTTCTTAAAGTGAGCGCGAATCGTCTTCCATCCTTTCAGTTTGGACAGAAATACCTTTAACTAAGTACCTCACAGGTACTATATCTATAATCTATTGTATGCTTGACGCATTTAAACGCATGTAAGCAATAACACGCCGGACTATGCGCTGTATTGTGGTTGGTTGGGATTCTTTAATACCCGCTTATGCAGGCGATTTTTGCCGCGTAGATTGTTGTAGTCATTTTGATCCTAGAGAATAATGCTAAAGAATTAACTTGTAAACTTTTTATCAGTACACTGAGATGAGCTAGCTAGACGTCTTCTCAGAAGAATAAGACAGAATCTATYATATCTTTGAAAATCACCGCAAAAAATCGTCACAAAAATCGCCAGTGTAAACGGGCCCTTAGAAACGAAGCCCACGCTTCTTTATCGCTAGCTATAGTGAAAAAGTATTAAACCAAATAGTGTAAATAGATCAATAAAGTGTAGATTGGAAAATAGAAAACAAAGCAATTCGTATAACTCAGTACAATTTATCACTATTCAATTACGATAGTTTTTCACGGTTTTAGTGTTTGCACGGTACACCTTAAGAAATTTTATTCAATTCCAGTCATTGATCACTTTATTCGATTGCTATCAGCTCTATCCACCAATGGTAAGTCACGTGATATGTCACGTGATTATATTCTACCAGATGAATTCATTGATAAGCACATCTTTCTTATGCACTTACTTGAAAATCTTTTTCTCAGTATAAAATGAAAACAAAATGTAATAAAAACGCATAGAACACTTATCAAAATATTCACAAAAAAATTGAGAAAATCAAAATCCTTACACCCTTGCCGCATTCAAATATTGAGAATTGAAACAATTGAAAAGATCTATATAGCTAAAACAACCCCACCGGTAAATTATGTGGATTTTCCTTGAATAAGGTTGATAACAGAACATTTATATAAAAGATCATTTCATAAAAAAGATATCGATCAAATAATTTTTATTGAAAACATATTCATCGTGCTGTTTAGTATTATAGAGCGGATCTCCTACGGGGTGTGAAGGATATTAGHAGAATTTGTTTTGAGGAAATTGTTTTTATATTTGTAACGCAAACAGCAAGCGACTAAACGGCACGTCTCGGTGGGAATTAAAAGGTGTTGAAGAAGTTGAATCGATTCGCGGTTTTTGTGTTGAATTTGATTGTAAACAAAGGATATCAACATTTGATTAAAARTCCATCAAGTTATATTAACTTGATAACGAAACACTTTAATTGAAATTTCACTTTTATAGTGTAACTTACATCCAAATATAGGCACCGTTTATAAGTAGCCGGGATATTTTCGGAACCGCGAAATAGGCCTATCGTTTATCACCACAAAGATCACCAAAAACGATGAAAGTTTCCTGATACGCCACCAACATAGCATTTTGAAAAGGGTTTTTTTATGTAAACGCAAATTAGAATTCGGATGCGTCTGTTATTGCCTTCTGCAATAACGGATGAATGCCGTGTAGGTTTGTCGATCAAATAAGCATGTGGGATGTTAAAGAACACGAAGAATGGTCTCCCAGAGAGAGCATGCAAACTCAGCTGGGGCTCGTTTGCGCGTTGGTCGACTGCACTCAAAGAGGTCAGCGGTTAATCGAAAAAGAAAACAAAATGGCGGAAAACTCAAGATGGCTAGCCTGTGTTACATCCCGGAAATTTCACAAATACCGAAGAATATTCCGGATGTAACGCAGGCTAAAGATGGCGAGCGTACATAGAAAAAYACAAAAATAGAGCAAAACAACACATTTTGCCGAGCTCCTTTGAATGGAGCATCAATTTATATCATAAATCAATACAAATAACATAAAATCTCTTTTTTTCTATGTGTATATTAGTAATGCGCCTCGGGCTTTAGAAACAGGATGTCGCGTATTAGTACTTCAGTAAATTTTAGAGAAAATCGCAGACATAGCTTCGAGATATGAAAAAACGATTACCCAAAAAAACTAATTTTAATAGTCGTTGATCGTTATCATCAATCATCATAATCAAGATTATAATCTTATATATAAATATATAACCATAATCTTGAGTTTGATTCAGAACGGCGCGATATCACTAAAATTAAACCCACCTTCTCTATACCTTAAAATGTTTCTATTTCAAACTAGTTTCCTCTCCATATGAATGCTAGATAATAACAGATTCATATTATCAACAACAAAATTTGAACAATTACATTGAATTTAGACCGCTTGCCACGAAAAGACACATGTAGCTCAAAAATAATGATGAACTAAATTGCCTCAACTGTGGACACGATAGAAATAGAACAGCCGTGAAATTGGTGTAGAAAAGCAGGGCGCTTTCGTGGCTTCCGATGCATTTTCTACGTCTAACTGATGTTAAAAGGACTTTTTATTCTCATTTTCATTCTAATTCCATTTCACTCTTGATTTTGACAGCGATCAACCTGCGCGAAATAGAAAGCAGTTCAGGAAAAATCTTTGACATTCAGAGAATCATCCTAACTAATCCGTTAAATATAAAAAAATAAAAAAAATAAATAAAAAATTACGGAATGCTTTATTTGGAATTTCGGKTACAAATATAAAATGGACGTTCAATTGCTTTTTGTTTATTATGGAATTCTACTTTCAGAAAATAAAGATTCTTTCCCTATCGCAGTCTTCCAAGTCTTATTTTGACTCATTGAATTTTCAAATTTTAGCCTCTTTTTAGTTTTTTCATTTTAAGCCCCACATTTGTATTTCGAAATTGAGTCGGCCCTCTATCTGCAATAAGCGTACTATTTTTGGTYGAAGCTTGTGATCATTATACAGTTATAACAATGGACTGCTTATTTCATTAGCCTTTTTAATTTTAGTTTCTTATTATTATTGATATTGGTTTAGAAATTGTTAGTGTTATTTTCAATTTTCTTCATCTTCTTGTTATTTCATGTTATTTATATTGAGGCATCCGGAGAACACAATGTAATCTTTTTCGGATCTTTACTTTACTTCTTAAAATTACCATGTCCAAACGATCCAGACAATTTCCAAACGCATCGATGTTGATCCCTTGATGTGCAGGATTAAAGGATTTCACCTTAAAACTACTTAAAAGGATAGCGATCGAGAAGACACCTTTTAMTTTTCAACGACAATAATAGGATAGAGCTTGATTAGTTAGCACTAGATATTATTTGCTGGCTTCCTCAAACATTACRTATATGCAAAGGTTCGGCAATTTGCGGGTACAAATGTCGCTTTAATGGCTAAAAAAAACTTTCAAATCTCCATTAGGAATTGAAAGTTAGGAGTTAATAGAATTAAATTGATTTTTCACGCCGTAATAGAACACTTTGTGATGCATTTTGTTCACCGGGGTAAATAAATCAGTCTTGCTTTTAATGCAGAGTGAATCAGAATTGGCATTTTTTTTCTTAGGAATCAAATTACATTTTAGTTTAAATGAACTGGATTCTCGGTGCCCTAAAAACGTTTTCGTTGTCAACAACTTGAGTGTTGGGAGTACACCGCAAACATGATCAAACGTTCTAGAGCTTGTTGACATTACTCTCTCTAAATCTTAAATTGCCAGAATCATCATTGATCATACGAAAACAAAAGTCCATTTATTAATCTGTGGTCCAAAAAGGCGGGGATATCTTACAAGGAGAGCTTTGSATGACGACATGAACGCCTCAGCCTTCATGATCAGACGTTCTAGAACTTTGATGATGTGCTCTTTAATCAAAAATTGCCAAAGGGCCCGGGGATCATTGAACATACGAAAATAAAAGTTAATCTGTTAATTTGTGGCTCACAATCGTGGTCATATCTCATAGCCGGAGACAGAGCCTCAAAAAATTCTGCTAAAAAATTCTAGAACATGACGAGAGGCCGGATATTCTTTAAATATACACTTCTGCAAAGTCACAAAACGGAGATTACTTCTGAAATATGAAATTAGCTTCTACACACGAGCGAAGGGTAGCGAATAAATCACATTAACAAGAAGTGTTATTAGTAACGGGTTTTTGGCACCAAGGAAGCATTTCAGCCCCAGTGSAGTCACGAATGCGATTCAGGACACATCAATTGATCCATTAAGTCTTGTTTTAGAGCTGACGAAAAAATCACAGACACCAGAAGTGTTTTTCTTAGCTTAGGGGTCACCAGGTTTAGATTTATGTCAATTCAACTGTCTTCGTCAGGTTAACACTGTTAAATTAAGTCTGTCCATAGCGTGTGTGATATTCAAGACAGATCAATGAACGTATCAAAACGTTGTCGGTTAGAGGTCAATTTTTTTTTTCACGCATTAATCATCCAACATCACAAAATATCATATAATTTGATTGGCAGACTGTCTAGGAGGTATATAATAAGAATTGATRAATATCCACCAAGGTTAGTTAGTTGATTAAGGATTTATGTTACACAAAACGTTGAAACAATTTGACGAAACGATGAAAACAATGACAACCATTTGGCGTCGTCAATGCAAGCAATCTATCTTACTCCTCTTTATGTAACTGTCAAAAACGTTACTTACTTCTACCTTAATGTGTATAACTACTCCCTAAGGCAAACGTGTGAAGTGTTTAGATACATTTTATACTTATTTCTATTTAGAAGCATGGTTATTATACAAAACTATTTCATACAATATGTACGCCAGGTGATTTTGACCTAAAAGTATACCGTTGTAATAGCTTTAATATATGTGGAAGCTGGCCGTAAGCGAGCGAAGATGAAAAGATAACTCTATAATCACCAAGGCAAGCAAATAAAAAATGCTTTTTAATAACAGCAATTTGACAACTTGAATAAACGATTATTAAGTAAGCAAAAACCTTAAARAAACACGCAAACACGCGCAAACAGAACGTGGATTATGAAGTCTTTTAGTGTTACTTACTTGAGTTAACGAGGCTAAAAACGGCCCCTAGAATGAACAATGTACAAGAGAGTTGTACATTTGACCGCGACCAGCTCGAGTCCATGGTAATGACTGTCAACAAACTGCAAACAAGCTTAGAATATTCACATCTGAAATGAAAACAATACAGAGGATGAATACAACTACCAAATATTTTGAATCTTTACATCATGTAGCGYCGTCCGGATTAACTTTTCGGGGGCAATAGATCGATTTACACTTACTTTTTGCAGTAAGGGGGTCGACTACCCTTGACTCACGACAGGARAAGACAATCGAGACTAAACCCTTGGCGGAKCTTTTGACTTTCGCTGTCCTCCTATGGAATAAGATACAGCAGAAACTTTGTCTCGGTGGTAATTACGTACAAACGCTTTTGCCAAATGTTTCCTCGAGGCGCTGGGTAATATTTCAAAGTCTTGGCATAATCGAGTCTGGGGGGAAATATGAATGAGGATGTGACGTCATGACAGTGGGTGGCTCCGAGGTCGCCAAGATGGGTATCAAATCGACTGAATAAGTATCAAATCGGGTTTAATCGGTATGATGCAGAGTGCTAATGAAATATACTTACGTAAGTGAATCACACATCAAAAGAGTATAGTGTGGGAAGAAATGGTTGTATGGGAGTGAAGAACAGTTTTTTTCTATTGCTCGACGGCGTGTCAAATTTATTTAATTAATTAGCCAAACAAAAACTGCAACTGCCGATTTTATTGAAAAAATTTCTTGATCGGGCACGCTGCCATAACTCTTTTTCCAGTTCAAAGAGGATAACTTCTGTTTCCCRACAATAGATTCTCTGGCGCAAACAAGGCCTTACCAGAACAGACGAATGAAAACTAAATAAATTGCTGTCATTCATGAAATGCTGTAATCCCAAAAGCTTTTTAAAAATCTTTAATATGCGGCATTGAAATGCAAAATTTTCAGGGCTCACTAATGGCAGAATTTTTTGTGTGCAACAGAATCTGTAGCCAGATGAAACASCTTATGGATATCGACTTTGAAGATAATTTTTATGGCGAAAAAACTATAAATTATAAACTAAGCTTTTATAAATGACGCGTGCGCTTTGAGTTATTACAACGAACGGGATTTACGCGAGTACAAAACACGCACACTTAAGGTTTTTAATGCCTTTTTAATTCAGTCCCGCCAGCTTCAATTCACAGACGAGCCTCAGGCAGTCTATCCATAATTGAAGGATACACTATCTCAAGATATGGTATGGGTTCTGGTGTGATTTACTAGTAAAATGGAGGACTTTTTTGGACCAATCAGAGAACTCGTTAAAACGAAACCCCCCTACCATGCGTGAGTTTTTATTTATTGCAAACAGTTAATTCACTCTCTCCGAATTTTTATACTGTAACTGAGACTGACGAGGAAAATTCCTAGGACTGCCAAAATTAGACTAGATGTTCATAAGCAAACATAAAATGTCCATGTTTTTGTAGTATAAAAGGACTAAAACAAGGTTTTTAAAATTTGTTTTTTTTATAAGTGTGACGAAATAGAGAAGGCAACTTCAAAGGCATAAAGGCATTTCCAGAAGTTGCTTTCTGACGCCATATATGGTGCCTGAAATACTAATCAAATGCATTATGTATATGCAAAAAAAAAAAAAAAAAAATACGTGAGCGGGCATGTGAAGAAACCAAGGACAAAAAGTTGGTATAAGCTTATAATCAATTCAAAGAGAGTGAAAGATTCTTGAAACAGAGACGTGAAATTGCATAAAAAAGAGATAAAGCGGTATCAATGMGAAAATCTGGCKCTCAA